AATGTTTTGATGGATTCAATATATCTCAAGCACATGACATTTTATATTGCATTGTTTTTCTGTCTGTATAACTCGAGCCATCTAACATTCAAAAAGGCATCACAAACACGAAAGCACAATCCTGTTTAGATACACTTTGTAACAAGGGAACCTCAGGCTGGAATGAGCTAGTTTAGCTACAAGCATGTCTCCGGTGGGCTGCACTGATTTGCGTGCAGCTGGAGGGCAGGGAGCCGGCCTGCGAGGGAAAGCAGAGCATGTCCCCCCCCCAGGGTTGTCTCACAGCCATTACCTCCTGCCAAGTCCTTGCATTGATTCTTACTAAGGGGCTCTGTTCCACACCGGGTCAGACAACAGCTACAAGCACAACTTGAAACGGAGAGAGATGGATGGCAACGGTATGAGCTCTCATGCATCCAAACATTGAAATCAATTTTATGGCATGTATGGTCAAGGTTATAAATAATGTCAACAAAATATACATGTACACATACACCCACACTTACATGCACAAAATAAGTATTGAAGGTGAAGAGTAAATACATCTCCTGCTGTTCTGACTGGGCTGTAGAGAGACCACAGCTCGACGCGGGACAGACAGGAGTGTGTTTCCATGTCAATGAGCTCTATGGAGATGGTCTGGCTCAGAAACAATGTAGTTGCTGGAATGAGGTAGACTACAGATCTGCTTCATAAGACACCTCGGACTGAATGTAGAAAAAGCGGAGTGATCCAGCTTGCTGGTTTTGAAATGTAAAATCAAAATACATTATTAGAATCTATAAACAATCAATGAAGCTTACAAAATCTTTCTAACATTTTGTTTAATTACTTGTTTTGATAATTAATGGTAACTAGATGGTAGTGGTAAGTGGTATTACTTTGGCTAATAAAATAAGTAAATACAATACTAAAATATATATACAGTATATACACATACCCTACAGTTCAAATATTTGGGGTCAGCATGATTTTTCTGAATACTTTTATTCAGCCAAGATGCATTGAATTGATCAATTGAATTGAATTGACACTAAAGACATTTACAATGTTACAAAAGATTTCTTCTTTTTTTAGAAAATGCAATTTTTAAAAAACTTTTTAATCAAAGAAGCCTAAAAAATTCACAAAAATATTAAACAGAAACTGTTTTCAACAGTAATAACAAGAAATGTTCCTTGAGCAGCAAATCAGCATATTAGAATAATTTCTGACAGATCATGTGATACTAAATTTAGTTTTGCCATTACAGAAATAAATTACATCTTAAAATATATTTATATATATACACTGAACAAAATTATAAACGCAACACTTTTGTTTTTGCCCCCATTTTTCATGAGCTGAACTCAAAGATCTAAGACTTTTTCTATGTACACAAAAGGCCTATTTCTCTCAAATATTGTTCACAAATCTGTCTAAATCTGTGTTAGTGAGCACTTCTCCTTTGCCGAGATAATCCATCCACCTCACAGGTGTGGCATATCAAGATGCTGATTAGACAACATGATTATTGCACAGGTGTGCCTTAGGCTGGCCACAATAAAAGGCCACTCTAAAATGTGCAGTTTTACTGTATTGGGGGGTCCGAAAACCAGTCAGTATCTGGTCTGACCACCATTTGCCTCACGCAGTGCAACACATCTCCGCACAGAGTTTATCAGGTTGTTGATTGTGGCCTGTGCAATGTTGGTCCACTCCTCTTCAATGACTGTGCGAAGTTGCTGGATATTGGCAAGAACTGGAACAC